GTACGGTCGAAAAAAGCCGCTGCGGGGAGATAATCGTTTTACTGGCGTCTAAGAATAAGGCGATATTTTATTTCTGTATATGTATATAAACATACAGTGCGTATTGTATGAACAGCATTATATACCCGTAGTATAATGGGCGGCACCGGCTGGTGGGAGAAGCCGTGCGCCGTGTATATGATGGCTATAAGACGAAAGAAGTTCTTTGTAGTTTGTAGACGACGAACCCATGTTTTTGTGAGACACCGCGCAGACGACGAGATGTATAATAGTAATTATGAACATCGAAGTACGTACTACCTACAGGTACCTACCGCACACTCGAACAAAAAAAATAATGAAATTAATATTGGTAAAGAAGTCGCATTAAGGACGGTTTGTGAACAAAACGATACGGTCCTAGTATCAAACGTCCTTTTAACGTCTCTTGTGTGAATCGTTGTGTAGGTCTTACTTCGGTTGTGGTCATCTTAATGGAAGATTCGTAAAAGAATCTTAGACGATGTATCATCAATACTCGTCGTCGGCTATCGGAAGAGGGCATCGCAGTAGCCAACACGCTTTCTTTGAATAGTTCGTCGACCTCACGTTGAACACGGACAACGACGACGTGTACACACATACACCCTCCGTAATTATAATTATGTAAAGCGACGGCCAAGAAGAGTGATTTATCCACGGTAGATATTATAATTATTATACACGTTGTACTATACCTAATGCGTATTGCGTGCTATCAAAACAATACAATATACGTACGAATCATTTTACAGCGAATAAGAAAAAGTTGAATTACACTCGGTAAACAACGCACAATTATATATCATAAATTGTTATTTTGATTTTACGTAGTCTGTGCAGTCTTATACGTCGGTTAACTGTTGCTTGACCCCAACTTGTTCGCGGGACTTTCGCCGATTGTTGCACGAATATCGTGTACAACACCACGTGGCTCATATGACGCGTCTCATGCAGTACGTGGATGAATTTGTTTTGAAAAATTTGATTTTTCTATAAACCCCGGATACTACAGGCGGCACGTCACTGTCGGCCCATTCGTTGTTTACGCCGCAACTCCCCACAAACGATCGGTAGTAATTTATCATCGGGTTAGGCAGCTCTTTAACAGTGCAGGCACGCGGTGCTGAATCTGGCAGTGACATATAATTTTTATATTGTGATGTCCAAAGGTCATGGATCATAGACGATGATAAACTCCGACTGCGTGATATTCATCAATATCCGTCATCGATCCGTTGGAGCGCATTTATCAATAATAATATCGTTGAGATTAAAAAAAAAAATGTGATCATTATAGTATTATGTTATGCACATACACTACTACATGTTTTACCTTTAGCCGCCCCTGTTACATAACCTACTCGACTATTAGGTGTGTGTATTAGTTGTCGTCGGTGCGGCTGCCGTGAGAGGCTGTTTAACCATTTCAGGTCATGCGTCGCGCATTCCCGTAGGCGAAAAGAGGGAGAGCTGCGATCGCCCGTCTCTCGAGCATGTAATATTTTTGTACTATTCTATACACACACACACCCGACATACAATAGTAGCTCAGTATCAGTACAGTAACGGTGTGTGTGTGTGTAATGCATAAATATAATTTTTTTTACAGTGTATTCAATCGTTGATCATAATATGAATTAAAATAAAAAAAAATAAAAGACGAGTAGAATAAACCGACTCCATATAATAATAATATAATACCTAAAAACACCTGTATTTATTATTATTGTTAATGAGGAATGTGTACCCGGCATTCTCCGGCCCCTCCCTCAGACCGATCTAACCTAACGCTACGCTGCCGCCGCGCGCACACGGGACTTCGTGACTCTCTGCGGTACTGCACTACCATTTGCCGCGGGGTTGACGGGTGTAATAGTTTAGGTACACATACATGCCTCGAAGGAACGCAGCGTGTAACGATGTTGACCGTCGCGTCTACAATATATTTAGATAAATACGACCTCGAGCAAGCACTGGTGCTGCCGCAAGTCGTCACTTCGTTGGATATACGACAAATATTTTTTTTAAATAATAACGTCCCGTTTGCAAGTTTTTCTCCCCTGTTTACTTAACTCGTTTGACGTTTTCGAGATTTTCGTCTGTGTGGTTATATTAATATGTTATGCATTTTACGAGACGGCTAGTAAACAAATTAATATATACAGGACAGTTAAACAGGCAGTTTATGTATAATATATAATATCGTATATTGTATATAGTAGTTATATTAGTATATTACAATTATTCCACTACAATACTATTAATTGTGTCGATTAAAAAATCCTGTTTACCCTCCGATTACAGTTGATGGCATTTCACTCAAATCATAATCGTAGTATAACGAGTAATAATATAATTGACATTTTGATTCAATATTATTACGAAATTCGAAGTACAGGTTATCTACAGCTACGTGACGCCATCACGATTACTTTTACGTTTATATCATGAATATTGTACGTGTTTCGTGTATAATGTATAATATATTATAATATTATGATTGTATTATGAACGTGAGTATCTACGTAATTAATATTTATTACGGAATAAAGATACGCCGAGATAAAAAGAAAATAATAATAATGAATAAAGAGCGACTTTAAACCTTTTTACGTAATTTATATAAAAACACTTATATTCTCAGTGCTGCAGTGTTTGACTTTGAACAAAAAAAAACCGTTGATGCACAGCGTTAATTAGACAACAAAACGGTGTACTGTAAATGATAGACTTAGGAACAAAACACTTTTCACTTTTCTAGTTAAACTTTTTGTTAAATTTGTATTAATTGTGAAATTTATGTGTGTGAGGGTAGTAATAGCATTCATCACAATTTAAAATGTCACTTTAATCATGAAAATAGTTACTGCAGGCTGGATTTTGTCTTTGTTTATGATGTATAGTACTATCATTGTATATACAGGTAGTTAAACTTCTCTAGCCGTTAAATTAACTTGCAGAATAATATATAATCTGACCATCGTATAAATATGATTTACATATTATACCTCAATATAAGTATGATAAATTATAATAATGTGCACTAAAAATCAAGTGATAAAAAAAACTTAAATTGGGCGTTTAGAAAAGCTTAAATATGGTGACATTGATAATATTTGTACCTAGTTAAATATTATTTTAGTTTTTTCTAATATAATTTAAAAATAGAAGGGAAAACAAAAAAATATATTTTTATGTAAATAAAAGTTTAATTAATTTGTTTATTAATTTTTAAAGTAAATAATTGTTTTATTTATTTTTAAAGTTAATTAGAATATTAAAAATTATAAAACGCGCTATTTGTACTGAGTTTAACCCAACAAATCTTGACGATATGATTTTATCAAAAATAATGTACACATAAACGTTTTGAAAATTGACTCAAATCCAGAAACAATTAATAATGTAGAATCTGCATGAAGAACGAATTATATCGGTGGTTTTTAATTTTCATTCGTGGCCTTATGTAAATGCATCTTAAAGACGAATGCTGTTCATTATTATTAGAAACACGGTACCTTCATTCAGTTCATCTGCATAAATAACAGAAATCATCCAATTCGATACTGAATTTCAGAACAACTAATGCCTATTTTCGATCAATATTGCAGTTAGCGCTTAGAACTTATCGATCATCATTGTTGATGGCTTACAAGTTACGGGTATGGGAGTGGTGGAGGGCATTGCAGGAACTACGAGTAGCTTACTCGATTTTTGGTATGAACCGTTCGATAGAAGTTCACCAAAAGGTCGTCGTGATAAAAAATGCACTCATCGTCCGGCACGCGTGCACGTAAAAAAAATATGTTTTTATAGGGATGGGCCATGGGAAAAATTCGATGGCAATGACACGTCTGTCCGGCCAAGTTCAAGGGCGTTCGGTCTGTCTCATTCGCTTTCTATCTCTGTTTCGATATGTATCTCTCTCACGCGCACATTCTCTCTCTTTCTCTCGTTCGCGCGTATACTGTATTATAATAATGTAATGTACGCCCACCGCGCGCGCTGCAGCCGCGAAATAAGGTCTAATATATTATGTTCGCGTATAATAATAATTACATAATTACCTTATGGTCGGGCGTAACGCCTGTTATCACATACACAAGTACACAACGATCGCATGGGACGACGTTATTATAGTTGGTAGGTAGATATTAATAACTATGATAATATACTATTATACATTATTATAATTTTACCCCCGCTTTGCCGTACTTAACAACCTGTTTGCACGACACCTAAAAATACCAGACCAAATTTTCAATGGATAACTACTGAGTATCTGTGTACTGTAAAAATAAAAATGGCTAGGGTTATATCACATGCATTTAATACACAAGCACCCAAAACTCATCTCAATTTTAACCATTTGTGTAAAAACCCAATTATAATAGAGTTTAAAAAAATTATTTTAATTTAAAACATTTTATATAAATTTAAAAACACAAAAATATTATAAAATATATACCACCTTCTAATTTTTTTAAAAAATTTAAAAAAATTAATGTTATTTTGTTAATGAAACCGAAAGTGGACTTCGGAAATACAACAGTAGTGTTTTATTAATCAACTAAAATAAAATATATATATATGTATATCGTTTACTACGTAAAACCGGTTTATATTGTATTTATCACGTGCATAATTTATATATCTGCATTTGTGTATAATACTTTTATAATTTTCCTTTCACTAATCGTTGATGTATACATCTATACAACGAAATGCATTTATACTATATGGTAATTTTATCATAATATCAAGGATTAATGGTAAATACTAAATATAAGTACCACCCGATTGGTTATTATAATTTGAAAAATGATCATAGTGTGGGTGCTTTGTGGTCAAGTTTATTTTATGATTGTATCTTATAATACGAGTATAATAATTATATCATAATATTTTATTGTGGTTTCCAAGAAAAAAACAATTTTGTAATTCAAAACTAATTTATAACGTTTTTGATTTTTTTTTCTAGAGTAAAGAAAAAAGTTTACAGAAAAAAAACGTCGAATATTTTCCGCACATTTCTACAGTAAGTTAACAAATAATATTATTTTTAAATAAAGTAATATCATTTATAACTTTATAAGTAATATAATTAAAACGTAAAGCATTAACAAGAGTATCTACATCTTATTTGTATTTAAATTTTAAGAGAAAGTTAAAAAATGTGTTTTCAAGATAAATTTAAGATGTTATAGTAGCCCTTAGGTCCTACTGCATGGTTGTAATAAAGACATTCCAGCATCGGCGTGTGTTATTAGCCCCTTTTGTATTTTTTGGCAAGTTTATACGTAAAAAATTTAATTTTATATAATCGTTTAATACAACATTTTTGTTTTATTATAAAATTATATACCTACTTTTATTTTTACGAACTTTTGATTGATATAAAATAATACATAAGACTATTGTGGTCGTTTATAATGTTTTTTATTTTTGTTTACGCCATTCTGATAGATGCCAGGTCTTCTATGTGTGTATCTTCTATGAATAACGCGATTATATAGGTATGCGGGTATATTAATCGAATGCTTAAAATCGTGCATTATTTGATTAATAGTTGTTCGAAGGGGGTTGCTATGGAAAGTCGAAATGCATTTTTGGTTCTTGGAATGTATATCGGTTAAAACGGAAGTTCGTTGGAATTACGGTAAATGCTTGTTGTTCACGTTAGAATTTTCAAGTATAATTTATATGCTCGTCGATTTCATTTTTTTTTTATATTTTAATAGTTTTATACTACGTGATATTTTCGCCATATACACTTAAATAAAAAGAATATTGAACCGTTATATGTATAAACATGTATACATCAACACCTGTAATAAATTATATGTATTTATAATATGTGTATGCCAACTATTATAATATATTGTATCATATATTAAACAAACGACGTATGTAACAAAACGTGAGTAATTTCGTTTATTTAATCGTACTGATTTATCGAGAAATAAATTCATTATTTCTATTTTATAATAACATTTGACATTAAGATGATGTCAGTGCACTATTTGTTTTCTCTTTAACCCACGCGCAACATAGTAAATTTGCATTCAGCAGAACCAATTTTTGTATTTAGCTTAAGTATTAAAATTAATTGATCTATTATAAATCTTAAAGTTACGAACACTAGTGTTTTTACGTTGGTTTATTTAGGACGATATGAACATTTTTCAATTGCAACATTTTATTTATTCATACCTAAAACGCATAAAAATTAAAATATTGTAAATAAACAACAGAAGAACATCGGATATGTTTTTAAATTAAAAACTATCAATATAAGATTGGTTCTTCTGAACACAAATTTGTTGTTGTGCATGGGTCAGAAAAAGGAAAAACAAATAAAGCACTAAAATGCTTATAAATTTTTATTAAACAATTGAAATGTTTTTAAATTATGTGCTTAACCAAGATAATTTAATATGATATTATACAGAATGTAATACTACCTATATGTTTAATAAAATACTTATACATTTTAAATTATTAAGAAATTGTATCAATAATATAAATTCAAATTATCGAGATTCTGAAATTTATCATTACCGACTACCGTTATTTGATTTACATTTACTGAAGTTCTACCGAAGTTGTGTTGGTCAGTTTTGATTCGTTGTATTAACATTATTTATTTATGTATTTAATAAAACGAGTATCACAATCTAGTTTGAAACTAGTTCAGTTTGAAAATATTTAAATTACTAGTTTTTACTAATTTAATGCTCTTTAATAGATATTAACTCGATAAGGTTTTTATGTATACCTATGTTTATAACCTACCTATGTATTATTATTTGTCATTTAAATTTATGGTACAAAATTAACAAAACTACTATATTAATATGTTTTTTTATGACTGAAGTGTTTCCAATATTTGTAGTGTTAACGATTTTACAGCTCATGTTTATATTTGGAATCCTAAAAATATTTTTTTTAGTTTAAGTTAAAATATTCGTGGAATTGTTTGTGCACATGAACTGTAATTTGGTTATAAATAATGTAATAAACAACTACCAATCCAATTAAAAGTTTTAATACCTAGTTGGGGAGAGAATGGACGTAAATATTATTCTAGTTTTCAGGAACGTAAAGATTTCATTTCACCATTTCACGCGCGTTGTTGATAGAACGGTGAATGTTCTGTCGTTGACAGTTAATCCAATAACATTGCTGTACGCCATTTGATTAAAGCGATACTATGACGGTCGTATATCGCCTATATAGTTTAAGCCCTATACGACACACCATAACGGTGATCAGACATATCATGATGAATAAAAAACGAATGTTCCGTGTACTATTATAAATAATAATAATATAAAGCCATACTTAAAGATAATAACTGCTGCGGTGAAGCTACACGCGTCATATAATAATAATAATATATCACTACATATTATTATCATGTATTAATATTATAAGCTGATCTCGTGCTATAGGGGTGACGGTGGATTACGACGATCAGGATCGGTCACCGAATAGATATTATGCTTCGACGTTCGATAAAAAGTCGCGCCGACTAACAACGGGTATCGACCAGTACGGTTATTAGAACGACTTACCACACCATAGGTACACGATATACGTTAAATCCGATTAAAAATAAAATCTACATTGTATAAATGCGATAGGCGTTGAATAATGGTATTAGTATAATATTTGACTATAATATAATAAAATATATAATTATTATATGTTCTTATGGTTATTGCACCCGGGTTCAACGGACTGGTACACCGAAATATGTGTGTGTGTTGCCCAGGGGTTAATGAGAGAAGTCGTTGCTGTGTGACCGGGTGAGGCGCGGGCGAGGGAAGATCACTGCTGCAAGAGCGTTCGTCTTCGTCGTCGTAGTGCCTGCACGGACAAGGTGCGATCCCATCGTGCCGCCGTCGCTACCTCCACTATTCATTTCTCTCGTGTCCATTATATTTCTATTATAATAATTCCCCTACAATTCGACTATTGTGATACAAGAATATGTGTACGGGACGTGACAAGGTCCGAGAACATAAAGAACAAGTGCGTAGACTATAATGATATATACGTGTATACTGTATACATATGTACATTGTACATGTACATATATTTATATTCTCGGCGTACCTGCAGTATACCTACTTTATGTTATTATGATATTATTATAATGTTATATATATATATACTACCTATATATTAGAAGGTTTAAGTCTGTGAGTCCAAAACGTGCGTCACATGTGTACAATCGATACAACCCCAAGGAATTCGTCTTTATATTAATTTTTTTTCATATTAACACACTATATATTATGTTATTATACGAACACGGATTTCTTATACACAGTTAATATTATTATTATTATTATTATTATTATTATACGATAGGCAGGTATGCTAGTCTTTTTAGTTATCGGACTTATGAAATGTTTAGACAAACACGTTTCAGAAACAGAATCCATGGCTTTATAGCTCGTATTTTACGATCCATTCATATTATGGTTGTGAAATTCCTGCTAGAAATGCGTATAAAATATATTTTTTTCTGAGTTATTGGTACAATATTACGCATATTCTTTCAACCAGATTTGTGAAAACAATGTTACAGCTTAAAACTTTTTATGCTATACTATGTTTACGTTTATGATAAAACTATATTTTAATTTTATAATTATTTTTTTTTTGACTTACCAACATTTAAATCATAATAGCACTATTAGTATTCAATAAGATGTTTTTTTTTAAATATGTTTATAAAGTTAATATAATTTTAAAGTTAATGTATTAAACGTGGCATAATAATGTACAACATTTGAGTTTGAAAAAAAGTCCTCAAGAAAAAAAAACATTTGTTACCTACGTTAGTATCTTTATTTTTTCGGTTACTGCTGTGTTTATTCTCACGTTTTAAAGGAAACTCATTTCACATTTGAAATATCGCGCATCATTTAATATATACTTATATATATATACTTCTAAACAGGCACGTTTGTAAACTACTCGCAGGTATAACAACGACCCTACCAGGTGTATCAGCAGGTATATATTGTATACTATAAAATATTGGTTATTGTCCGATGGAAAAGGTTTTTTCATACATTCTGGTCGAGAAAAATGCCCTTTATCCATTTGTTGTATTTCAGTTTTTATGTGATATAGGTAGACCATTCTTAGTCTGAGCTATTGAAGCCCCTGTGTATTACCCTTGTATTCAAATATTTCAATGATTCGAATGATTTATCAAACATTACTACAATACCTGTTGATACGTGTGTTTAACAACTGATAATATAATTTATTTTATTGTATAAAAATGTTTATGAAAGAAAGATAATAAAGTTTAAGAATAGTTACAATAAATAAATGACCAGAAACCGAATTCTTGTACAGTATTATAAAGGTCTATAAACCTGAAAATATTTTTATTTTATGAATGTAGAACTATAATATTATTAAAATACAATACTTTTTGTCATGAGATATATTGTTAAAAAAGAAAAGTTATGCAATTTATTGAAATTAAGGAAACTGGTCATAATCACATGAAACGTTTAAGATTCATTCAAGAGTTTGTAATTTGTGGGATATACATAAATATTTTTTTATTCATAGTATTTTAACACTTCTGGATGTGATTAAGAGAGAAGATTAAAAAACCTGTAAAAATTGTCAACATTTATCGTGTGTATGCACGTATGGACAACAATTTTTTTACTAAAACATTATAGAACTATGTAAATATATAGTTGAATACTGTAATAGCTTAAAACAGCGCGATTAGATAAAAAAAATGAATACAATAAATAGCTCATCTGTAATACATATTAGTTAAAAAAAATCGTATCAAAAATAAATTACAATAAGCATAATGTATTAAAAATATTTATAAATATTTATTTTGTCTCATTATTGTGTTGGTACACAAGATTTAATGTACACAGAATAGTATTATGTATACATTTATAGTTTATGTTACGTGAATCGAAAATCGAAACTTTTATGATTTGATTGAATTGTATTGAATGTTTTCTACGCATAGGATGACAT